CAAATGCTGATTGGAAAACGGTCGAAGATCTAGCTCCGCGACTGCAGGGACTTTGGCGTCGGGAAGAACACCAGCAACAACTGCAGAATGTCGTTCCGCAACAATGGGTGAGCATTATGAGGATAGGTCACAGGCCGGTGAAAGGGATGTGGTACAAGACAAACCAACAAGAGATGTCAGACTGTATCTGGAGGATAGAGGATTCCTCAGAGGCGGTGGAGATTCCTACCACTTGCTGGCGGGTGCGGGGAGGAGCAGACTCACTGGGAGAACCTTTGCAGCTCTCTGAGGAGCAACTCCCCCTTCCACCCGCTGAGCAACTCTTCCCAGTCTGCGTGCTGGAGCAAAAACAAAGCTATAGACCTTATTCCCTGAAAGTGCCACCTTACAGCCTGTGAATGGACCCTAGAAACTGGGCGTGGGAGCACCCCTTGCATAATTTTGAGCTGGTTGGAATATCTGAATATACAACGAAAGTTGGATACTTGATAATGACACCACGTACAGACGTCAACTGGTTGGTGGCAAGAAGATGGATGGTAATAGGATGGGTTAGTGATACGGTGACAATATTATCTGCTGCCCTTCGTGCATTTTGGAAACAACTGATGGACCTGGTGGTAAGTAAGCATGCAAGCCTACTTTGGTTGCTGATGGACCTGGCATTGCCGACCAATACCTGGTGTGCTAGAAGAACAGCAAAGGCCATTCCGGAATGCGGTGTGTGCCTGGGGACGCGTATGGAAGACATTCAACACTCCGAGCTGCAGTGTAACCTCTCCAGGCCCTTTTGGGATTGGTGGAGACAGTCGGGTGTTCCTCTCCCCGTTGTGGATTCCCGCTGGGAGGATGACTTCATCCTCCTGGGAACGGCAGCCAGGAGAACGACCCCACAGTCACAATTTGCTCATGCTGAGGAGACTATCAGAGGAGCCATTTTGTGGACTCTCTGGAATCTCATAAATGCAAGGTTGAGAAAGAACGAGCATTTGACTCCGCTGATGGTTAAAGCCGAAATGAAGTATGCAATTAAACAAGCTATATCGGCGGACTGGAAGTATCGGGTTCAGAAAAAAGGATTTTCAGCCAAGTCTGTTGAATGGTTTGGAAATAGATGGGGTAACTTCTCTGGCCTGGTTACCGCGGACACGGCCCAAGACGGCACACTTGTCATGAGGTTTTTAAATTTTTTTGTTTAGTTTTTTGTTGTAGTTCTCTGTTTTTTGAATTTTTCTTTTTTTTAATTTTGTTTCTGATGGGAGGACTGTTTGTTAGATAGATTGTATACTAGATAGTGAAGGTTAATCATGGTTTTGAAATTTCGGATGATAGATTGGTGGTCAGACTCAGGAATCTGTTGGTTGTATTCGACTGCGGTCGGGATGGGATTGGCCGGGAGTGCCTCACCCAGCCTGTAAGGCTGCAGAACAGAGGTAAGCGACGCTGGACCCGGTTTTCGGCAAAAAAAAAAAGACCCTGAAGTTAGGAAAAAAAGAAAAAACAATTTTTGAAATATAAGGGATTCCAAAAAAAAAAAAAAAAAACCAACCAAGCGAAAACCAAAAACAATACGCTAGATCAATGTAATGCTCACATCTATATCACCCTGTCCGAATAGCCACACCCCAGACTGGCCACGGCCAAGATGTCTCGGCCACATCCCAGACTGGCCATGGCCGAGATGTCTCGGCCACACCCCAGATTAGCCATGGCCGAGATCTCTCGGCCACAGCCAAGATTCACAGGCACTGCCCTTCACAGGCAAACGCGAAGTCTCAAGAGTAGCCTAGTTCGAAGAAGTGAGGGGCTCGGGGCAAGGATGGAGGCCAAAAAAAGAAAAAAGAAATAAAAGAAAGAAAAGAGTAAAGAAACGGAGGAACTTCGAATCCACCTACGTCGGGAAGGCCCTCACGTCACTAGTGCTTTGAGGAATGTATCTGGCCAGGAAGTGAGGAACATGAAACAGGTCGTTTTCCTTTTTTGTTTCTTGTTGTGAGGTCCTTGTAGCGCCCTGCCAGCCTGGCAAGGCGGATTCCACGCCAGGCAGCTAACTTCATTCAGTTCCAGACAAGTACTGTAGCATCCTGTATCGGACCGCAATCATAGCATAAGGGATGTTTTTTTTTTTTTTTTCCCCTTTATCTGTCGTTCGTGGATAGAAGAGGGCCCTGAGTGAACTTCTACCTAAAGGCAGCCCGAGTTTCAACTGCAATTGAAACTCTGGCCCTGACTAAACTGCTAAAACGCAGTTTCAAATGCAATTACAAACTGCTTTCGTGACTGCGCCGAAGTTACCCTTTTTTTTTCCTTATTTTTTTCTTTTTTTCACAGAGCCCATCTCTCTCTCTCTCTCTCTCTCTCTCTCTCTCTCTCTCTCTCTCTCTCTCTCTCT